TTTATTACGTTTACATTCTCCACAGCATTAAATAATTAATAATGTAACTTCAGATAATTGGTCACAAAATCTTGAGTTTTGAAGTTAAAGATAACTTCCTTATTTCAATATAGGTAGCATGGTTTTTTAACTGATTTAAAGACCGCATTAATCCTGTTGAAATAATAATTTACAGACGTTTGCTTCTTTCAGCACAAGATTCTGATCAAAATGATAATCAAGAACGATCCAAATGTAACACTTAATGGTAAAAACTAAATTGACTTCAAAAAATATGAAGAAAATAATCGCCCATTCTTAAAACTTGCATGACGTAAACGAAGAAAAAAGGTGATATGGAACGGAAATGTGAATTTTCCAAGGAGAAAATATAGTTAAAAGTGGAAAAGCCACAGTACCCCAAGAGTGAAATAGAAAAAAGGTAACTAGAAAACCCGCAATGGCCGGGAAAGGCAAATCAGGGCAGCATGCATTCCCACATGCCATGGAAAGATGGTGCAAAAAAGATGCTTTTTTTTATTCGGGGTTTGCAAAACGTGCTTTATCTTCTATATTTTAAAAGGAAATTTTTTCTTTGCTATATCGATTATCGTTCTAAATTACAAGAAATGCATATTTTCTCTGCAATATTTATCAGAAGCCAGTTATTTTATCATGATTATGTAAAGTTTTTGAATTTTATTGATTTTATGTTTATAAATTAAGAACTTTAAACGATAGTAAAAAAATTATTATTGCACAGATCCTAATTATGAATTATTTTTTTCGAAAATGATTACTAGATGTATTTTTTTGAGTGCTTGAAATGTGCTTATTTTTTGTTTTAAAATCTGGCTAAGAACCCTGATTGAAATTAAATTTATCCCGAGATGCAAAGAATGTGCAGCAATAGATTTATCACATTCTTGAAAAGGGACTTATCTACCATGTTCCTTTAATCTAAATTTTAAAACCCGTCTGGTTTATACAATATAGCCATGGTTGCACTGGAAAGGAATTGATTCTCTGTTTCACTCTCGGCTGCCACTATTTCTCTAGTTTTTTTTTCACTTTAATTTACCATTTTTGTTGACAACCATAATTTTTTTTCTCCCCAAATTACAAATTTTTTTAATTTTAATAATTTAGTTTTCTTTATTCACATCTGCCGAGTTTTAAATCCGGTGCCTATTATTGAGTGCTCCAAACATTTGCTTCGAACGTTGCAATCTCCAGGGCTCATTAGACGTTAATGACTCGTGACTGGAATTTTTTAATGCTCAAGACAGGTCGATTTTTATTTACATTTTAAATTTTTTGAAGAAATTGAAATTTTTATATTCCCACTGTTATAGAGTAACAAATAGAACTTTATCATCATGGACTGAAAGTTAGGCTACAAAAAAGTTTAAAGCAGGTTGAATAAGTTTATTTTTTGATTTCCTTTTGGATGGAGATGTATAAAAAAAAAAAAAAAA